TTCCGATTCCGATTCCGATTCCGATTCCAAACCCCTATTCCTACGAACCAGATAGGGCCTTACACACACATGCATAGACCTTGCATAGTTGCATTTCCACCTGTACACCCTGCTCATGTTCAGAAAGGAAAAGATAATTAAAAACCTTGGAAAAAAATAAATGAGAAAAGAAAAGAGAAGACCTATCTCACTACACACAACCAAAGGGAGATGGAAAAATTGATCAAATTGACCTAGCTTGATTAATCATCCAAGAAATTCAAATCTGACCAGTATATGTAAATTCTAAAATGATATCTTCTCAAGAGCCATAGGACCTGTTGAACACTTTGGGATCTTAAAATTGTTGCATTTTCACTAATGGCCAAAGTTTAATAAAATTTAAAATTGATTTATTTGTTTTATATTTAAATTTGTATATCTCTCTCTCAATTTTTAATCATATAGTGTGCTTCATTGCTTATTTGATGTACCCTTCTTCGACACATACTGCTTTTCCCAAGATTAAGCCTTCTATCTATTACTAGTGGCAAGCAAACCCTTGCAATTAATGCCTGGCGTTGAGTAGAAATTTGATTAGGTTGAGTTGACAATTTGGCTTTTGACTTTTGGCATCAAATTTGAATTTAGGGCAAGGTCTATGTTTGGTTGGTCTTGAAAACTCAATCCAATACATCTAATTTATATCTTTGCTTTATTAGAGACTAAGAGATTTTAGAGGAAATGAAGGATTTAACGAGAAAAAGAGAGAGAATTTTAAGAATGATTTTATCAAAAAAAGTAATGGCAACTTTTACGAGGAAAAAGTATTAATAATTTAATATTCAAATAAGTAGCCACATGTCTAAGAAATAAAATGAAGAGGAGATCAATAAACATTGAGGTGAGAGGATTCTTGGCCTTCCTCTTTCCTCTATATCATAATAGATAAAGATATTAAGCCAATACCTACTCCGTGATGAGAAGCTTCTATGCTAACAAAACTGGGATCTCCTGCCAACAAAAAACCGTTATTCGTTGGAATTTTAATGACAGGTGACCCGAACTCCACAAAACTACATAAAACAGACGTAATCCTCTCTGTCTATTATTGTTGCCATGTGCGACACATGTGATTTTTTGTTTAAGGGGGTACTTATTTCCACATCTTTTGGAAAACCAATGAAAGGGGTATTTGACTTTTAGAGAGAGTATTAGGTATTAAACATGAGAAATATACATTTATTATAACATTGTGGGTGTTATTACTTATTAGGATCAAGAAAAAAAAATCAATGGAAAATGAAAAATTTTAGGCTATGTTTGGTTTGAAAGAAAAGGTACGGAAAGGAAGGGAGAGACAGGAAAACGTATACAATGTTTGTAAAAGTTTTCCTTCCTTTCCCTGCATTTTCCTTCAAACCAAACATAGCCTTAGGCGTTGGTTTGAAGGAAAAAGTAGGGAAAATCCCTACTGTTCCCTTCCTTTCCCTACTTTCTCCTTTAAACCAAACACAGCCTTAATTCCCTATGCCAGCTAACAAGAGTACAAGAAATCTCTTCGCACTAATTTTGCTTGCTTCTAAGTCTTATGCCCACTAAGTTTAAAATCTAGTAAAATTGCTATTTTGTGTTGTTTCAATATTGTTTATTAGTTATGAAAAAAAAAACTCTCTGTATTCTTTTTCACTATTATTACGACTGAGATTTGGCCTACTAGAACCATCTTCTCCAAAACTATTTTAATGGATAAATGATTAATGAAAATAAATAAAGTTGAAAAATGAAAATATCAAAGGAAATATGTTTTGATTTGTGAAAACATACAAAATAAAATAAAAATAAAAGTGGATAACAATAGATAGAAAAAGACTATAGGATGTGTTAATATCTATTTTGAAAATAAGGACTTGGGCTGGTGGGCACAAACTTCTATTTGGGGAAAATTCTTTATAAAACTTCTGTTTTATAAATAAAAAAAATTAGAAATGCCCATATCGATATTTTTTTTCAAAATTCAATAATCAGATGAATTATTCGGATTTTGTTTGGTGAATCAGCGCCATAGCACCTCCACCTCCACTTTATTTCATTTTTCTTTCTCGCGTATTATGCGCATGTTTTTAATGCATCTTTATCTGTGGTCGTGATGAAGTGATGAGTGATTATCTAATATCTAAATAGATTTTGAAGCGAAAAAAAAAAAAAATCTAAATAGATTCGATCCCCGGTTGGTGAGAAGTACATTCACCCACTTTTGCAGCGATTGCCAGTTTTGCAATTATAGTTCAATTTGAAAAAAGTACAAATACGAATATGTAGAATGCAAAAACTATGTATTTTGTGTGTATTTGTGTTTGTATTCTTTCCAAAAAAAAAAGTGATGTACAATGCCAAGTAAAAAATGAAATATGGCTCCTATAGAGGCAAAAGGGTGATGATTCAATGCCAACAAATTGATCCTCTATGCCCGATCCTCAATGTAAACGGGTTCTGCTTCAGAGCCTCAAGTGATTTTTAGAGAATAGGTTTACTTAAAATAACAAAATTTTTTAAAAAAGAAAAATATTTTAAATATATATATATATATACAATATCATAAATAATGTAAATAATATTATATATGCATATATTTAATTTAATATATAATTGGGGTCGAGGCGGGACAGGGAATTCACTCCCTATCCCCGTCCTATCCTCATCCTCAATAAGGTATCACTATCAATCTTCATCCCTGTCAAGGCAATATCCATCCCTGACTCAATGGGGTTGGGGAGGCTGAAGACCTGAGAAAGTTGCCATACCTACTATGATTGTACCAAGTCATTATGGGTTTAAAATAAGGGATTTTTACTGTTTAATTCATCCTCACAAATCTTAGCTCTACCATATAGCTGGGATAGGTGCTAGCTCGGAATTGACGCCAATACACAGACGGGTATTGGTGTTTCAAATTTTGAATTGTTGTAGATCTGCAGTGGAACTTAGAATTCCGAGGTGGAGTGCAGTCTACTTATCCCTTAAAATAATAGGCCTTTAAGAACATTGGGCTTATTTTCTTCGTGGAATAGGAGTTTGGAATCAGAATTAGAATCACCCATTTCGGTTCCAATGATTTGATTGGGTGGAATCAATCCAATTCCCATTCATGATGGAATGTCATTCCCCTATTGAAGGAATGATCATTTCCTCCTCGCCCTTGAGAATCAAAATCCTATTCCAACCAATTCTGATTTCCATTTGAATCAAATCTCTGAGAAAATAGACCATTCCAATTCTAATTATGATTCCAGTTGTAAACCAAACTAACCTTAGTATCCACAAAATTAAATGGAGTTCTCAATTCTCAAGGAATCGCCAATTGTCATTGATTCCCAGGGATTTGTGGGGCCACTCATTTTTAAATTGGGATATTCTCCTCATAGAGCACTCCTCACATTGACCTCACAGCCACATCCCATTGTGTATTGGAAATATCACCCATAAATAATAACATACAAGTATGGGAGATGTTCCTAATGTGTGGTTGGTACATGCTGTGAGGTTGGTGTGAGGAGAACTTTGTGATGATGGACTCCACTTTTTCTTGGAGCGTGCATCGTGTTTTATACATGATTTTCAAACCATCATTGAATCCGGATGGTTGGATCGTTCAGTCAAAAAACCATCCAAAAAACCAATTCTATTTCACCCTTAACCTCTTCCTTGGCCAAATACCCTTGACTTGGTCAATGACCCATTGACGATGTGGTTAAAATATTGACACGAACAATGATTTTTTTGGCTATTTTTTATTTTTTAAATTAAAACAAACTAGCCATTGGAATTGAATGACCAGACTGCTGACCCAAAAACTACGGTTCCGAGTTGGTTTTCAGAACATTGATTTTATATTTACAATTCTTCCTTGATTAATTACTTTGGGTCTAGTGCCACTTTGGTCCCCGAACTTTAAAACACGACAACTTAGTACTCAAACTTTCAAAACGTATCAATCTAGCACCTGCCCCCATTAACTAGTTGTTAAGTGCCATTTGAAAAGACACCAATACCCTTCAAGTGTCATCTAATTCTCTTTATTAACCATCCAAACGTTGATAAAAAATGAACAATCCTAAATTCTTGCCTCTTCTGCTCAAGAAAGTTGGGGTAACCAGAATGCCCATTGAGATATAATCCTAACTTTCTTGAATAGAAGAGGCAAGAATTTGAGACCGTTCATTTTTTATCAATGTGGATGATTGATAAAGAAAATTAGATGATATTCAAAGGGCACTTGTATCTTTTCAAATCACTTAACGGCTAGTTAAAGGATTAGTTAATGACAGATCGGACGGTCCTTAATACAGCGCGGGAATTTTTTTTTTTTTTTTATTTCGTGAAAGGTTGAAGTTGAACAGATCATCAACAAAAATATAAATAACAGATCGGACGGTCCTTAATGGACAATGTTGACAGAAAGTATTATTGGGGCATCCAAGAATCAGACGATCCTGATTGGAGGCATGTCATGTTCTTGCTAAACCGGTCAAATCCCAAGTCCCAACATTCTCCTCTTCCACTGGATGTTTACTATTTATTTATTAATTTAAACTACCTGTGGGCTGTAGGGGCAATTCTGTCATTTGGGGCGCATAAGAATTTTATTAGGTATTTCGCGAGATAACTTTTTAACGTAACTTGGAAAGAAAAAAAAAAACATTTTAATGTAATGCAATTCCAATTCTCATGACTGTGGATCCCGTAATCGAAGGTAGTGGGAGATGAGAGACCCACTAACGCTGACGTCAAACACGGCTTTAATTACCCCGTCTCGATATATCTACGGTGTAAGTAAGAAATTTATTTTAATACATCAACCTGGCGAGGTACCAAATCAGCATTGTCTCTTTTTTCATTTTCTTTTGAGTAAAGAAAATACTGAGAATCAGATATCAGACTTATATCATACTTATGTAACAAATCAATAACTAAATACATATACAGTAGAGAGAGAGAAAGAGAGTAAAGAGGAGAGAAGCTGCTTGGATACTTCCTCCAAGCCTCAAGCCAGCTTGTTATGGACTGGCACCTCCCTTCCTCTCTTTTTTTCTTCTCCAAGTATTTGAGCTGCTGTATACTCTACGATATCACCACTACTTTGAATATTCAGTTATAAACTCTGCTCCTTTTTCTGTTGGTTCTTTGTCCTTTTTTTTAATTCTTTTCGGGGTTTTATCAGCTTGTCGGCTGATTTATTTTTAAATTTTTTAATTTGGTTTTGCTGTTGAACAGCACTGGCAGTGAGGTTCCTCTCATGAGTTATGACCCACATTCGCCTAATCGCCTCTGCATCTAATCTACAGTTCCCATTTTCAACCCTTTTCAAGCTTATATATATAGAACTTTCCTCTCAGACCTCCCATGTGCTCACAGCTTACGTACATTGTCTTGAGGAAGAACTTCAATGCAAGCAAAAGGGTCGGTCTTTTTGTGGTTTAATTGATTCAATGTCCTTGTTAGTCTAAAATTTCTCGCTTTTCTAGTTGTGGGTCTTGAGGCTTGGTTTGTCTGCTTGAAAATTAGCCAGTCTATTTGTGGGATCGAGTCATGTAACTCTCTTCTGAGCTTCCATTGATTTAGAGGTTCTGCAATTTCAGATATATTAGATTGTCGATTCTTGTAATGTCACCCCGCTTCGTGGTCGTAATGGCTCAAAATCCATAAGAGTTTGCAGCTGATTTGTGCCTGTTATAGTCATCATTTGGCATCCAGCCATTAAAGGAAGATAACCCAGTTGACTTGCCACACACCATGGAGGAGACCTTCGTGCCTTTTCGCGGAATCAAGAATGACCTTCAAGGAAGATTGATGTGTTACAAACAAGATTGGACCAGCGGTATTAAAGCAGGCTTCAGGTATATGTCAGTTTCTGTTACTAGGAAGCCTTTTATGCGTTTACTTGCAAATGAAATTTAGGGAGGTGAAAAGATCAACTTCTTATCTGAATATTCTTATGTAAAATAAAGTCTAGATGGCAGGTTTCTGGTTTCTTATTTCAGGGTTCTTTCATGGATTAATTTTGATATAGCCATATAAGATTGTGACATTAGCCCGATTATCTTATTTTTTTCAGGATTTTGGCTCCAACAACTTACATATTCTTTGCTTCTGCTATCCCAGTTATTTCATTTGGTGAACAGTTGGACAGAAATACAGGTAACACTGATAATTTATACTGTGGTTCGAATTCTGTTTTCTAGTTAGGTTGGTAATCTCATGAAGTCCAGCTAGAGTTTCGAATGGTATTGATAGGATTTCCTTTGCATTGCAAGCTATTAATAGAAGCATTTCGTTTACATGAAGTAAAGGGAAAATTGGAATTGATATTTAGTTCACAAAGGAAAATCATCCAAATTTTATAGCTTGTGTTGTACCTGGTATTGGCAGATGGGATTCTAACAGCAGTTCAGACATTGGCATCTACTGCTTTGTGTGGGATTATACACTCTATTATTGGAGGTCATCCTTTGCTGATTCTTGGAGTGGCAGAACCTACTGTGCTTATGTACACGTTCATGTTTAACTTTGCCAAAGACAGACCTGATTTGGGACCAAAACTCTTCCTAGCATGGACTGGATGGTAAGATATTTCTGCCTCTGCCTCTGTTTTGCACATTAATATACGTATTGAAATATTACTTTTTGATTTCTTTGTAGTAGAACTTACATGATCTTTTGGCAGGGTATGTGTATGGACTGCAATCTTGCTGTTCTTGCTGGCTATTTTAGGAGCTTGCTCTATTATCAATAGGTTTACCCGATTGGCAGGGGAACTGTTTGGYCTGCTTATTGCAATGCTCTTCATGCAGCAAGCTATTAAAGTAAGATTATAGTGCTTAGTTTTTTTTAATCAATTACTTTTCTTGGGTTAATGTAAAATTAAAAAAGATAAAGGAATACATAGACTGTGCATTTGTCATAAATGATCAATTGGATGCAAGTTGGTAGATTGATTCCAATTTCAACTCATGTGTTGGATTTTTAGGGTGTTGTGGATGAGTTTCGCATACCCCAAAGAGAAAATCCAAACTTAACGCAGTTTTTACCTTCATGGAGGTTTGCAAATGGGATGTTTGCTTTAGTTTTGTCGTTTGGACTTCTTCTTACTGCACTGAGAAGTCGGAAAGCACGATCATGGCGATATGGATCTGGTAAGCATGTTTTGGATTTCGTTTATGCATGAACTGACTTGTTCTAGAACAACTTTAGCAGTACTTGTTCTTATTTAACAGAAATAAAGAGAGGCATCTTGTCCATCCATTCCAGCAATCAGTCAAGGTTCTTAACACAATTGTGAATGAGAACTGGTGGTCCTTCTCTTGTAGACATGATTTTATCCACTTTACAGAAAATCTGAAACTAAATCTTTTGCAGGCTGGCTACGAGGCTTTGTAGCAGACTACGGTGTGCCGTTGATGGTTCTAGTGTGGACTGCTGTTTCCTACATACCATCTGGTAGTGTTCCAAGAGGGATCCCTCGACGCCTCTTCAGCCCAAATCCATGGTCACCAGGCGCCTATGAGAATTGGACAGTAATCAAGGCATGTCCAAATCACCCTTGCATTTCCTGATGTTTTTTTTTATGTTGATAAAGGAACAATTTGTTCTTGTTTTTATTGCTATTCCTTTTTTTTTCTTGATTTTCTATTTGTGCAGACCAGACCATACAGATCTTAGTCCATTAGGAAGAACTAGTACTGATAATTTGTTCTTAAAATTGACAGGAGATGCTAGATGTGCCCATCCTCTATATAGTTGGAGCTTTTATTCCAGCAACAATGATTGCAGTTCTGTACTATTTTGACCACAGTGTAGCATCTCAGCTTGCTCAGCAGAAAGAGTTCAATTTGAGAAAACCACCGTCTTTCCATTATGATTTACTTCTCTTGGGTTTCCTGGTAGACAAACCTTCTTTCATCCTTTTCTTTATCCAATTACTGGAATCTTTTACTTAATTATTTTTACTTTGATCCATAGTACATATTAACCTTTGTAGTAGACCTCTAAATTCTTCTGTTCAAATTTCAGGTCATATTGTGTGGTCTTCTTGGTATACCACCATCAAATGGTGTCATCCCACAATCTCCAATGCATACAAAGAGTTTGGCTACTCTTAAGCACCAAGTAAGGCATCCCAAACCTTTGTTTTTTTTTTTTTAATTTATTAGTCAGTAGTCACTCTAAACCATTCTATGAGACTCAACCATCATGGTGCAAGAGCATACCTACTCCTGGTAGCTGAGCCATCATCTTAACTAAGGTATTGTATGTTGAGCTATAAGGTTCTTGGTTCATTTCAAGCACACTTACCTTCTATACCCCATCTTGTCAAGGAAAATTTGGAACATGTGTAGTTTGAGATGTATTTTAACAAATTGTTGTTCTAAGTGGACCTGGTTAAAGTTCTATTTTTGTTAGACTCAATGCATTTATTTTTTCACTACCAGCAACTACATTTTTCAATTCTAACAAGGACTGCTTACCCTGCAGCTTCTACGTAACCGGCTTGTAGCCACAGCTCGCAAAAGTATGAGTAAGAACTCAAGCTTGGGGCAATTATATGGAAGTATGCAAGAGGCCTACCAACAGATGCAGACTCCGTTGATCTATCAGGAGGCTTCAGTTCGAGTATGATATCTAATGTCTAGAATTTGAATTACAAAACATAAAAAAAAAAAAAATCTACTTTCTTCTCTCTCTAGAGTGACTCAGCTAGAGTGGGGAAAACTAGCACCCTTGACCTAGCTAGGTCAAATCACTTKATTAGGTTCACCAGAAACTCCATTCATGGGCCATGTTCTCCTTAGTTATTTGCATGAGGTGGTGTCCTGGCAGAGTTGATAGAGCATTACCATGATCAAGGCATTTTCATATGTTGAAGGGATAATGGCTCCTAAGCTAGTTCATATATATAATTACTTTAGAGTCTATGATAGTGAAAAGGCATGATACCTAGAAAGCTGAGAACCAATCAACTGGTAATTCGTCAATGTTCACTGGAGGTTCTGATTGGTCAAAGTTCTTCCATTATCATATCCTTCTGACATCATAGAAGTTTCCTTACTTCCAAATATATTAATCATTTTGGTTATTATGCAATTGTGGCTCTGTCTATCTAGGATCTTGGGAGGGGTAGACTGCATTTGGACCTAACCTCCAGCATTTTAGCGTTAAGTAACCCTCTCCTAGACACAAATGCATGCTTTCATGCTTGTCATCCCGGGATTTTGTTAAACATCTTACACCCAATGTATAGCCCATTGAGATTTCAGAGTCAACCTTCCTAGTTTTAGTTTGTATAGCATATATTAGTCAGTCAATTCTGAATCAAAAATATATACAACCTTGCCTTAAAGCATTGAGTTGCTTGCACAGGGACTAAAGGAACTGAAAGAGTCAACAATTCAATTGGCATCAAGCCTTGGAAATATTGATGCTCCTGTTGATGAGACAGTATTTGATGTTGAGAAGGAGATTGATGATCTCTTGCCTGTTGAGGTCAAAGAGCAGCGGGTTAGCAACTTACTTCAAGCTTTAATGGTGGGAGGTTGTGTTGCAGCCATGCCTTTCCTTAAAATGATTCCGACCTCGGTGCTCTGGGGCTACTTTGCCTTCATGTCCATTGAAAGCTTACCTGGCAATCAATTTTGGGAAAGGATCCTATTGCTTTTCACTGCTCCAAGCAGAAGATACAAGTAATATTATCTTTACATTAGCTCTTTCTTCCCATCCTCTGCCCTGGTTTTTAAAGAAATAACACATTTTCCTTGTTCCAGAGTGCTTGAGGAGTATCATGCAACATTTGTGGAAAGTGTGCCCTTCAAGGCAATTGCAACTTTTACGATTTTCCAGACAACTTACTTGCTCGTATGTTTTGGAATTACATGGATACCAATTGCTGGGGTTCTGTTTTCTTTGATGATCATGCTTTTGGTTCCTGTGAGGCAATACCTTCTGCCCAAGTTTTTCAAAGGGTTACACCTTCAAGATTTAGATGCAGCAGAATATGAAGAGTACCCAGCAATTGTAAGTTTTCTCGTTTTACAATTTCAGCCTGCTTCCCTTCCATTTCTTTCTTTTTTTACTTAAAGATTCTTGCATTTGCATAATTTAAGTGAAATATTTGAAAAACATTTCAACTCATTTATGACATTACCATCAAAGAATTCTTCATAAGTAAACAAAAACCTGTTTAATTTATAATCCTTGAGTGGTTGATGTGGTATTGGCAGGAGGGAGTTATGAGAGATTTTGCAGAAAGAGAGCTTCTAGATGAGATGATCACTCGAGGCCGGGGTGAGTTTAGGCGTACCTGCAGTTCCAAAATAACAAGCTCCAATGCAACTCCACTAAACAATCTTAAAACCCTTCAAAGCCCCCGGTTTGCAGAGAAAGCATATAGTCCTCGAATAACTGAATTGAGAGGGGATCATCAAAGTCCTCAGCTTGGTGGACACAGTCCAAGGACAGGTGAAGCACAACCATCCAATTTGGGACAGAGCCCTCAAACTTAACTTGAAATCGCCAAGGTGATTGGTTTGTTTATTATATGGATCAGTATACTATGGGGTGCTTGTGGTGGGTTTTCTTCATATATACTTGGTGTAGGTCCAACAATTATGTAAAATCTCTTGCTTTCTGGCTCTTCTGTACCCAGAGGAGATTTGTAATCATAGAGTTGTATCAATGATACAAACTAATATTTTATGCTTTGTGCATTTTTCTTATTTTTCCACATATAACAAAAATGTTTGCGCTAGTAATGCAGTCTATTCAACATCATTATCCATTTCTTCACATTTCCTTCATTGTTTAATTCTAAAAAGAAACCATACTTCTTGTTAATTAAAGGGAAAAACTGAAGGAAGAGCTCCATCAGTTAATTACTGTCATATTCTTCATTATAATGGAATTAATGCCTATATCATGGCTTCAAACTAATTTTGATCCCATTCAACATTTTTTACCAAACCAGGTGCAATTTACCCAAGGATCTAATCCAGTTCAATAAGATGAGCTATTGGAAAGCTGGTGCCATGGTGAACTTAATAATAGGTGCTGTCTTGTTTCTTTCTGATAGAGGGAGCATATAAAGAGGATGTTTGGTTTCTATTTTGGTTTATTTCACATGTTTGAAGAGAGTACATCTACCTGAATTCTCCTAATTGTTTTACCGACGAGTAAGAAGTGCCATTGCTTCTGCTCTGCAGGTACCGAGGTTGGATTTTGATGTGAAAAGGAAACATAAGGTTCAGTGGTTTGATAGCGTTTTGATGTTGTTGGCATACCATTGTTAAGTATGAATATGTTTGGCATATAGTACTGATATTATTATGGGGTGATTTCGTAAACAAATACAAAGATGCTATTAATCCTGTTATGCGGCATTAGAAGGGCTATTTTGTGCTTAATTCGTAGTCACCCCAAACCAATGTCAGTATTCTTATCATATACTGAAAGAAAGATGTGAATTGTCATAACACGAACTGATGATGCTCCTTCTTTCTCAACCCTCCACCTCTTCTTCATCCCTCTTGGCTCAGTTTAGAAAGGTTACAAATACAAATATGTACAGTGCAAATACATAAAATATAATACAAAATACAAGGTTTTGCACTCTACATATTTGTATTTGTACTCCTTCCAAACTAAGCCTTAACATCATGCAGTATAATCAAGATAACATTTGTCTCATGATATTTTTTCCATCCTCTTCTCTTCCTTAGCTGCTCCACTTGCACGATCAAATAGGCTTTCTCTACCTGATAATAGTGGTAATTTCAGATTAGTTGTTTTTGTTTTTATGGTCAACAACAAATCCTTGACTTATGAATTTGTGCTAATGCTTGATTTACTACAACGATATACATTTGAAAGGAGGCCTGTGTTGAGGCTGACTAGAATATGGGTAGAGTTGGACTCGGAAATGCTTGTTAACCATGCTTACAGAGAGTGCAGATAGAATGGAGGATGTCTTAGCTAACTACGCTTTTGATACAAGATAAAATCGCATGTTTTGGCCTAGTGATGACCTGCCAGATTCAGTAAAGAAGACTTTAAGTGAAGACAAAGTTTGAATCCCTTGGATTTCTATCAAATTAATCTAGTTTTTCAAAATGTAATTTCAACTTTCTTTTGGGTTGCTTGGAGTGGGTTAGGGAGAACTCTATGTTCCACAGGTTTCGGGCAAGGCGGGTTATGTCCTCCCATGTAAGTTTAATCTGATTTTTAACAATGGTTAATAGAATTACAAGATGGATGTCTTTCCATCTATAGTAAGTTTGGGGATAAAAGGAAAGGAGGCTTAATAGAATAAAACACTATATTCACTATCACTCATCATCATCTAAGCCTTGTCCCAACTATATGGAGTCACCTACTTGAATCCTGTTTCATCATTCTATTTCAATGCCACATCCATCACCAAATTATATACTTGAATCATTTCTCACTACTTTCACCCAATTTCATTTTTATCTGCTTCTAGTTCTTCTAGAGCATTCAACTCCTAACAGAACATATCTTCTTACGAACTAGAGTTATAAATTGTCTTCTATGCATATAACTAAATCATTTTAGTTTACTTTCTCTCATTTTATTATCAATTGGAATTATTCTTAATTTTTTTCTACGACTTTATTTCAGACATATCCTTTGTAATTTTACCACTTATTTATCTAAACATATAAATTTCCACCACATTCATGATGTTTCTTAATTACCCAACACTATGCTCCAATTGATCTATCTGTTTTAATTATATGAATCCACATTCAGATGTCATATAGCATATATTCCTTGGATTCACCAATAGGACCCCACCATTACAGACTACAGAGAATTGCTTTATATGTGATATGTCATTGCCTTCCGGCTGAGATTCACCCATGTGGCAATCCACCATTAGAAGACGACAGAAGGGTGAACACTCGTCCATGGTCAATTAATGGCGACATCTGCAAAATAAGGATTGCATATGGAGCAACATAGTAAGCTGAAAGGTATTGTTGGAATGAAAGTAGAGGCTCTAGTTCACTCACATTATCCATGCATGAAAAGGAACCAGGGATGGAATCTGACATTCTTGGTTGGAGTGGATGTGGGTGATGGAGAACTGTAATTCTCACGCCATTGACCCGCACATCTTAGTGGAAACATTCTATACGTCTCTTCACGAGGGTTCTAGGTCCCTCTTGTAATGATTTCAGGATCTTTGTCTTTGCTTTTTATTACACCCTGTAGTTCACTACCAACCTTAAATAGTAGTTATACCATCAATCACTGTGAAGACCAAATTTCAATGATTTGAAGTTTTGAACCATTGTGGAATGTTGATTTCTCGTGACCGAGTGAACCCGTTTGCAAGAAAAAAAATTAGGGAAAATTTCACTTTAGTACCTGAATTTTAGGGGTAGTGCAAGCTTCAAAGTATTGACACGTATCGTTTTGGGACTCCTCTAATATGCCCCTATAGTGGGTGTATCGGGGGTCTGACTGGTTCAGGGGATGGAGGATTCCTAAACTGTCCCCCCTGAATCGGTTTCAGAAAAAAAATACTAAGAAAAATAGTATCGATTTGCCCGATACGCCCATACTGACGTATTGATATTTTGAACCTTAAATACAGGTAGGATCTGGATTGTGGCCCATCATAGAGACCATGATCCAAATTGTTTGGTCCTAATCCAACCACCCAAATAGAGCTCATTATGTGGGTGGTAGGACTTAAACATCTTTCTCTCTCCCTCTTTCTCTCTCTCTATTATATATATATATATATATATATATATATATATATATATATTAAAATTGGTCTGTCCACATCATCATACCGCTCCCTGCTTCAAACCCCTTCCTAATTTTCTGTATTTTCAAATTTTTTATTTTTTTAATTCCACATAATTACCCATTAAACCAATAAGGAAATCACATATCCTTAACTATTTCTAACAACCATAAAGAAAAATGGATTTGTTTTTCTAATGTTTAGCCAAGTGGCACCACTTTCCCCCACTTCCTCATAAATTGTCTCTAATTCCTATTTATCTCCTAAATTATCTCTAATTCCTATTTATCTCTTAAATTATCTCTAATATAGTAGAGAGATTCTCTCCTAAACGTTATAACAAAATTATATACTAAATTTAAAATATTTATTCAAAAGACAAAAAATTAATAGATTTAATAATATTCATATTATTAATAATTCAATATTTTTACAAAATTCATCATGAAATTATGTAGTAACAATATAAATTATAATTTTATGAATTATTCAATTTAAATGTCATTCAAATAATAAAAAATTAATATTAAAAAATAAAACATTATTTAAATATTTCAATAACTAAAAATCTTAAATAAAAACATTAAAAATAGATAAATAATATAACAAAATATTTAATATTATGTAATAACATTAAAACAAATAAAATTCAAATAATGAAAAATTTTAAATATTTTACATATTATTTAAATATTTAAATAACAAAATATTTAACATGACAAAATTTTAAATAGTTAAAATAACGAAATTATGTAATAAATTTAAACAAATTCTTAAAAGTAGAAAATTATTTATGATAGAATTCATAATATTCATATTAATAATAATTTAATATTTTAAAAAATTAATAACAAATTATGTAATAATAGTACAATTATAATTTTATGAATTATTAAATTCAATAAATAATTAATATTTTAAGAATTTAAATAACAACATTATTTCAATAAGTAAATAATATTGTAAATAACTAATTTCACTTATATAAATTAATAATTATAGAAAATAACTATCAACAAAATTATATTTATTAGTAATAATTTTACACTAATAGTGTATATTCATTATATATTTATATATACTATAATTCATATTTATTTTATTTTCAGTAATCATTTACTATTTTTTTATAAATATGCTTTCAATAATTATTTATAAATCTATTCTTATTTTGTTATTGAATAGAAAATTATCAATAATTATCAGAGATTGAACAACTTTTATTTAAATTTTGAAATTTAATTTAATCATATTTATTGTATTTTTTTATAAATTTATTTTTAGTAATTATATATTTTTTATAATTTATAGATTAATACTTATTAGATTTTAAACTATTATTTGAAATTACACTATTTATTGAATAATTTAGTATATTTTTGTAATTATTGTATTTTTATTATATATCTATTATATTTTCATTATAAACTTATTTTCAATGATTGTCTACAGTTGCTATAAATTTTCAATAATTATTGGAGATTAAACCATTGTTATTTATTAGAGATTTGACTATAAATTTAGTTGAAATTAGGAGTGTTCAATGATTGGTTCAGTCCAGTTGCATGCTGTTTTGCCAACCAAATCGATTTGGTCAATTCCACAATTTGTCACTTGAAATCGATTGACTATTAGTGAAAACCCACCAACTTGGATTGTATCGATTTGGGTCTATTTTCAGTTTATTTTGTTTGTTCAAAAGATTTAAACTTAAAAAATAAAACTATGATATAAAATATTTTAGAATAAGAAATATGAGAATTTTCCTACTAACCTGTATTAAAAAAATTAAATTTAAAATATAGAATATTAATATATATTCGGATCCACATCACCATGCCTCTCCTTGCTCCATTATCCCCACCCTGCATTCTCTTTGACTTTCTCTCCTCTCCCCTTCCCACCACTCCCATTAAGCCATGCCACCCAACTACCTAAAAATATTCCTATAATCTATCTCCTAAGTTATCTCATTTAAACCAATAGGAAAGTATCATGTTGCCCCACTCCCTAATCAATTCCTAAAATGCATCCCCCCCAATACCCATCTCCCTTATTTAAAATATTCATATTAATTAATAAATAGTTAAATACGGTTAATATTTAATCCCACTCATATTCAATGAGTATTAATTAAATAGTGTTATTACCAAAAGTAAATAAATACGGTTAGTAAATTACCAAAAAATAAATATTCTTATTAGTACAGTTAGTAAATTACCAAAAGTTAGTAAATATTGTTATTAATTAACTCATTAACAACATTTTATAGAAATTGAAAACTCTTTAACTAATTTCTATAAAACTGAGAATTATATTTAACAATTATTAAAAAGTATAAAATTTTACTTATTGTTATTATTATAATTAATAACCAAATACAAATGGGGGAACAAAATATTATAATGTTAGGAAATGAAATTATTAATTAATTTATATTGAAAAATAAAAGATAAATTAGGAACTACCAAACAAAAGTATATATTTAATAACGATT